GACCTCTCACCCTCTCTTCTCAGAAATCTTCCTTTAAATCTCAATCTTCCTTCGAATCTGGGCTTGGGAGCTCAATCATTCAGATTCAAGTAAGTTTCTTTGAGCTTAGTTCTCTAACTTCATTCTTATTTCTCCGTTTTATCCGATCTAAAGGTTTGTACTTTGTGATACTCAAGGAAGCCTTAACCCTTAAAACAATATTCTCTACCGAAACGTTGTACCTCTCCCTTAGATCTCTATGAAAACTTGATCTAAGAGACTCATTTTCAGGTAAGGAGAGTGATCTCAAACCCTAACTTCTCTTTGGTATTTTGATTTGAAAACCCTATGATTATTTTTAAAACTATCTAAATATAAATTGTAGCAAAAGCGCTAAAAAGAACTGTTTTGAGAATACTAGGATTTTACTAAGAAACGTGGTTTAGAGATAGTAGGATTACTATTTTACATTTTTAGAATGATAAACTTACAATGAATACTGGGTGATGTCAGACTTTATGATAGACGACTTTGTTATTACTGAGAAAATATGTATGTTGAGGATTGTACGATTAGGTTGAGTTCAGAGATGTCCGACCTTCGGCACATTGTATTGGCTTAAGTGATGTGAAATTATTTGATGATATTTTCGTGTTAAATGATATATTAAATATAGATGTTGGTTGATAGCTGAAGTATGTCAAAATGAGTGAAACCATGTTATTGATTCTTAAATGAAGAAAATGTTTTATGTATGAAATGAAATGATGATGGAATTGTGAGAAATGTGATTATAATGCGTGAGCCAGAATAGATTGATAGATGTGATTATAATATAGGTATTGTGGTACATCAAAAGGTGTACTCATAATACATATATTGTAATACATTAAGTTATAAGATTAAGACTTGTGTATTATAACATGTTGATCTATGATTAGGATATGGAAAAGTATGAAAATAGTTGAGAAATGCTAAGAGTAAGTATAGATAGTTACAGAGATACACTGGAGATATAGAGTCCGGAGAAGATTTAGAAAATCTTGGAGAAATGAAGGTAGTGAATGCTAATTATAAATAGGTGCATAATGATTTGCTGAATGTGAAAGCATTCATAGGCCACACACTCATTTTCTGACGAGACTCTGATTATACCTTTGTTAAAAAGGGTCAGGTCAGCACACGTGTATTTGTGTTGCTGCTACTAACCAGTAGCTATCTATGCTACGAAGTCCTCAAGAAATCCCAAGGGTAATAAATATGAAAGTGTGATGAATATGAAGTAGTATAGAAATTGTATGACTATAATATGTGCATAGTAACATATCAGTTGATGTTGTTATGATATATGTGTTGTAATACATCAACAGATGCGATTAGAACACATGTATTATGACATATTAATTGATGTGGTATAATACATGTATCATGACATACAGATTAGTGTGAAAATGCATGTCATACATATTTACAAAGATGATTGATTAGTTGTCATGTATATGCTTCGCTGTGATAATGATTTATATCCTCTGAGTGTTATTATTAATCTAATATATATATAAGATAATATTTTTAATATTATATTTGTATATATATATATATACACCTTTCTTTTGTCAAATAAGAGATTTAGTGGGGCGGGACAGGAGATACTCACCCTTACTAATATATTTCAGGTAATGAAGGTGAAGAGATAAAAAAGACTAGTTTGTTCTAGGATCATAATCCAATGGTATTGGAAGGAAGATTGCTTCATAGGGACTAGGATAGTTTGAGAAATTATAATATTTTATTATAATTACATTTTATATTGACCAAGTTATGTAAACATTTCTTTAATGTCAAATTTTAGAATTTATAATGCTTTGGTGAATTTTGTTATGATAAATAATTTGGAGAGGTTCTTAATGATATTCTAAACGTATATGTATACAATGTGAATCAAATAATTTACTAGATGTAAATTAAGTTTTATTTATTACTTTAAAGTCTTAAACGTATTCATTTGAAAGTTTTAAAAACTGTGAAATTTTATACAATTGTCATAAAAGGAATGCAAGTTTTGTTGTTATTCAATTCTTAAATTTATAAAATAGAACAAAATTATTTTATTTTTCCTTTTACTATAAAAATTTATTTAGCTAGTTTTATACGAGGATGTTACATATATGATTTGGGATGTAGAAGTAGTGATGACTATCACTTGCTTCTAGAAGGATGTGTTACCACTTTGGTTTAGACTTAGCATCTTTTAGTCGAATAAGTTTAATTGAGAATCATCTTTGCATACGTGCACCTAGTTACCTTGAGACTAGAGGACATATTTGGACTGAATAAATTCAATCGTGAATATGAAGCTATTTTTATGATAGATTTTCTTTTTTATCATTTATGTCTGTGTGGTCTTGCTAAATATTTGAGATGTTTAAGGCCAACAATCTATTTAGAATTATAAAAGTCTTTGCTTGGTTGATTATACACCTTAAGGTGTGACTTCAACGAATGTCCTTAGCATTGGAAAAATCAAGATATAAAAGTGCATAACTACAAAAGTCTTTGTTGGTAATAAGGATTTGGTTGATCATACACTAAGGTGTGACTTTGACAAATGCCTACTCGAGTTAACCACACTGACTTGATAGAGTAGAGCCTGTAACACCCTTATTTTTTCTATTCCCTTATTTTTGAGAAAAGTAGGATTTTTGGTACAGGACTTCTTGCTTAAGCGAGATGGATATTTCTGAATTGGACTTTCTAGAGCATTCTTGCTCAAGAGAGAAAAGTCTCGCTCAAGAGAGAAAGGTCTCGCTCAAACGAGAAAAGAAAATATTGCCTTAATTGTCTTTTTGGCTAAGTAAAAAGTAACTCGCTCAGGCAAGATGGAGCTCGCCTAGGTGAGCAGTCGCAGGAAAAACAAGAAACGCTCTAGATCTATTCTCGCTCAAACCAAAATACCTCTTGTCCAGAAGAGAATATCAGAAAAATCATTATTTAGTTTTCTTACTCAAACAAGAATATGCTCGTTCAAACAAGAGTTTTCTCATTATTTAGACCTATTTTGTTTTGTTTTAAATATATGAATTGCAAATCAAATTGAACAAAAAATAAACAAAAATTTTAGTTAATATATTAGAATAATTTGACCAATTCTTTAATATTTTTAATTAGAATTTTAAATTTATAAAAAAAATATCACACACTTATCAAACTTGAATGATTTATTTTTTGAATGGCTAAATTTTTATATTTTAAATGATGTTATTATATCTTTAAGTTTATAACTTTATTATATAAATATTTATATTGCTTAAATAAACGAATGCAGATATAAGGATATAAATATCTATATCACAAAAATAGATATTTATATCATATAAAATAGTTATGTTGTAAGATTAGTATAAAAAAATTATTTATTATTTATTATTTTGTTGAATTAGACTAATATAATTCAATTATGGTGTGGTTCACATGAAAATATTTTTTAAAAATGTATTAAAATTCTATTTAAATTTGAAATATATAAAAAATATCTGTTTCATATAAATATTTGTTTATATAACATCTAAATCATAAATTAAATATTAAATAATAAATTATTTTATAAATTTTATAATAAACTAATATTACATTATTTTTATCATTCATTGATAATTTTAAGAAAAAAATGTTAAATACTTTTTGTGTCAAACATTTGATAGAAGGTATAATTACAGGGTGCATACTTGGAAGTCTATTTGTTTTTGTTTTTTCCTTTTCTTCGCAAAACAAGTATTGTTTTTGTGTCTGAAAGTTAAGTACGTTTTCTTGATCTGAAAGTTGTGTTCGCTTTTAATCATTTAAAATCGACAAACTAGCCCAATTTGGTACATGGGCTTTTAGGCCTTTTGTTTCGCCATTTCAATTCTTACTTTCTTGACCAAAAAAGAAAACAACTCCTTTTTTTTTTATCAAAGCAACAAAGAAAAAGATGCAATTCAGACAAAAGAAAAAGATTCAGACGACAAAAGAAAAAGAAGCAACGGTATACTAGTATGCTACGTGGCAGCGTCTAACTACGGTTAACGTTCGGTTGTTACTATGAATCCACGTGTCCATTGGACAAGCCATCAGCTTCCGAAATTTCAGCTTCACGTGTGTCTGTTCCCACTTTCCAGCCGGTTGAGGACGGACTGGGCCACAAAATTATAAGTGTTATTCATCGATTAAAATTGAAATTTTATTGTAATAAAATATTTACATTAAATTTTATTTAAATTATTAAAATAAAATTTTAATTTTAAATAATATTATTAGTGTTTAAATAATTGTACTCAAATTTTATCTATATTTAAAAAACCATAATTAGTATATTTATTAAAGAATTAAAAACATATTTTTATTAAAAATATAAATTTAATTTTTTATTAATTTTAATGTAATTTGACCCAAAAAAATAATGATACACTATTTAACATATTTTTAAAATATTATTATTAATGAAAATTTACATAATATTCATCAAATGAAAATGTTAATAGTTTCAAATATTCCAATATCATTAACAGCCTATTTATATAAACGATGAAAGAAAAAATAAGATTATAATGCACTTTTTATAAAAGAGTTTTATTATTATTATTATTATTATTTCACTTTGGATTTGACGAACCCTCCGACCGTATAAAGATTAAACCGTGGGAATAAATATCTATAAAAAAATTATTTGAGAATGTATTATTTATCTTCGAATTTTAAAATATCAAATGGATGCAACTCAAGTTAAAGCCGTTGCCATATATTCAATTATTAATCCCCGAAAAAGGTCATGAAGAAAGCGACGTAGAAAAATCAGCGTGATCCTGCACACACTAGATCCACCCCCTCCACCACACCTATCTCCGTTCCACCAATCAGAGCGAGTCAACTCACGCGGGGCTCGCTCCCGCCACGCACCATGAGTGGCATCCTCGTAAATAACCCAAAACAACAGTGGCATTTCCTTACCCCTAATATCCCCTCTTAAAACCCCCGCAACCAGGGTTTGTTCTTTCGCGCAGCCATTACCATTTTCCACCCTCTCCCTAAAAAACGCCACCACCGTCGCCATGTCCGCGATCACACGACTGAAAGCGGCCGCGCCATCGCTGAAATTCCTCGGACGCCCGCCGAACCGGCTTTTCGGATCGGCGGCTGCGGTCCAGTGCTACAACTACGACGATGACGAAGAAGAGTGCGCGCCACGTGGCATGCTGGACGCGCAGGGTTGCACGCCGGAGCGCGGAGTGCAATGGGTAATGATTGGAGAGCCTGGAGCCAAGAGGCACCTCTTTGCCCAGAGACTCTCGAAGCTTCTAGAAGTTCCTCACATTTCCATGGCCACGCTCCTCAGCCAGGACCTCAACCCTCGCTCCTCTCTCTACCAGCAAGTAATTTCTTCTCTTTCCAGGGTTTCTTTGTTACTTTTGCGTCTAATTGAGTATGATTTCTTTTTTATCAATTTTTTCGATACTTTCTCTCCAATTTTTCTTCGCTCTCTCGGAATTTCTTGTTAAAGTTAGCGCTTTCTGTTATAAAAAGAAAACATTTCTTTTGAATTAAAAGATTGCCTGAATAATCGCCTAATTTAACTTAAGCAATGATAAGTTAATTACTGTTATAAAACTTGCTTTCACTGCAGAAACAGAGTGGGGTAAGGCATGCATATTAATTAAACTGTTACGGGTGTTGTAAGAATATGTCTGAACCTAATATTTGTTTTGAAATGGTGTCACCTCATTGGTGGTGGTGGTTTATAATTTTGTTTTACGATTTTTCTATTTTACTATTCATTACCCTAACATTAACGGTACAAAAATCAATAAATAGAAAGGTTTTTTTATTAAACTAAAAGGTGTATTAGTGCATGTTTGAAAATATTTATTTTTTAAAAGAAATGATTACTTATTTTTCAAAAGCCATTTCAAGAAACTGATAGAATAAGCTATTATATCTTTGAAATAAAGTGAAATAACACACGTTTAGTAAGTTCCTAATGTGTATATATATTTATTTTTATGGGTATTACTTAGCAAAACCTTTATTATTATTATTAGTAGTAGTAGTAGTGTGTAACGTGGGGTTGTTCCAATTCAGATAGCGTATGCCTTGGATCATGGAAAACTTGTGCCCGAGGAAATTATTTTTGGGCTGTTAACGAAGAGACTGGACGATGGATACTCGAGAGGTGAAAGTGGGTTTATTCTTGATGGATTCCCTCGAACAAGGATACAAGCTGTAAGTTGTTTCGTGTTTCATAATCATGAACTGCTCTAAATGTGTCAATTTTACTCATTCTTACTTAACAACGTTGTGTTGTTTGTTTTGCAGGAGATTCTTGATCACATTGCTCGTGTTGATCTAGTGGTGAATTTCAAATGTTCGAAAGAGGATTTAGTGAAAAAGAATTTAGGAACAGGAAAATTTAATTCTTGCCAAGAATATCTTTTTATGACCAGCTCCGGCACCCCAACCAAGCAATTGCAAGATGAACATGTCCAAAATCATTCAGAGGAGGTGACTATATATTATCTTTGTTTTTTTTAATTCGTGTTTAGTTTTGTTTAATTTGAAGAAATAATTGGTCTTTTATATCTTTCTCTAAAAAACTTTAGAGGAAAAAAAATTTTGTTTTCCGGAAATAATTGTTTTTCAAACATGCAGTTAGAAGTGGTACTGGTTTGAGATACTTTATATGCCTATGTTTGTTTCTAATTTGCTACGTATTGTGCCTTAGTTCCTGAAAGTAATATTTGTTTTTTGGTGGGTATCTTCTCTTCTAGTGCAAGCTGTTGGAAGATTACTACAGGAAGCAGAAGAAACTTCTTAATTTTGAAGTGGAAGGTGCACCAGGAGAAACCTGGCAGGGTCTTCTGGCTGCGCTACATCTCCAGCATATTAATGCTCTTAGTTCTTCACAGAAGTTGACTGCCTGAGGGTCCATCAATCTTCTATGGCATCAATCCATTGTCGGCATTCTAGTATTTGTGAATATGAGAGCTACAACTTCATGGAAATTTTGTGTCGGTGTCTAAATTGTTGATTTTGTTTTTGAAAATTTTGATAATACCAGTTTGTTCTGTAGTGCAACCGTCCAAAAATGAATACGAAATGTATGACCACAAATCCTACTAGTGAGTCAGTGTTGTCTTCGTTTGTTGTTCAATCGTGTCCCAACATAGTCTCATTTCTGGTTAATTTTGCTTGGTCCCAGAATCTGCTAAGGACACGTTGCAAAAAGCATATGATGTAAAAGTTTAGTACTTACAAGCATTCTTCTGCTAAGCTTCTGTCTCATTTTTTGTTGAATTCATCTCTGTTTATTTAACTACAGCCACTTAGTTTCTAGCGAATTTGCAATTTCTCCGCCATTTAGTCGAATGACTCGTTGTTTGTTCCTCCTGTAATAGGGTTAAATTTAAGTATCTATAGATAAAAAATAATTTATGAAATAAATATACACTTATTGTATTAAAATTATAAAAATACAATAAATATTTATTTTTTAATAAAATTTTATTATTATTAACTACTTATTCTTAATAGAAAGTTTAACAAAATCTTAATTTTAAAGGTTTAATATTTGAAACTACAGTTTTTTCCGCTATTTTTTTGCTGTAAATTAAACTCTTCAAATAAACCAAAATGAGCATCTGAAATCATCACAAATAAATTTAGAATTTAATCTCAAGTGACCTTGTTGTAAGATGACCCAAAAGTCAAACATTATTATTTATATGCAAGCCATTTCCACCATCTCGTTTTTTAACAGTTTTTGTTCTGCTAAACCTAGAATATATATCTTTCTTTTTACATTGATACACAACAAATGTTTAAGTGAAAAGGGTAAAATCTAATTTGTGCAAGGTCATTCACTGTTCATCCAAACATCTCTCAGGAGTTCATATCTGAAGGCAGATTCATCACGATTGTCTTTCCACTTCCAGTTGGGTTTGGCCAATACTGGGGAGGAGCCACTAATGAATATCGAAGATAATGGATAGCTTAATTCATCGAGCTCATCATCGCTAGTGTATGACTTCCTCACAACAGAAGATCTGCTTCTTCTCAGCTGAGATTCACTTCCAATTTCCCCAGTAATGCTTGTAATGGTAGTTGCTGGCAGAGGCGAATATGCAATGGGAGCAGCCATGCATGGGAAGTTGTTCACAGACTCCTTTTCATCGTCGAGATCATCCTGCATCAAATTGAAAAAAAAAAATCTAGATATCATTAGCCAAATCAGTAGGAGTTTTGGCCTTAAATCAATTAATCAAAGAACATTGTGTATCAAGTAAACAACCATACATATCATGAGACATTTCAATTTCATTCAGCCTCAATCAAACACAGTTCCCACGTCATTATGCTCCTTTTGCATCGTGGGACTTGCCCAAGTGTGTATTTTGGTATTTTAGTCATGTATGTGTGTGTGTGTGTATATAGTGTGTCAAACTAGAAATCCTATAACAAATCATGAGCACAAAAAAGCCATATTTGTTTATATCTAACCTGTGACGACAGAGCTTCAAAAACAACAGTGGGAATAGGTTCCGGGCAAAACTCATCTGGGACGAAATTGTCTAGAATCTTCTTGATTAGTGAAGCACTAAACATTGGGCAGACCTTCAAAAACAAGGATCCTTTCACCGTGATTAAGGAGAAGAAAGTCACAGAAAGTTAACTGAAGAGGAAAAGCACAAGTTCATTGGCTAACCTCTTTCCTGATGGATGCACTTAACAGCAAATCCTTAGGAAGCATCAAGAGGTCACTTAATGCATTAAGAAGATGAAAGGACTTGAAGGATGTATTTTGACTTCCGTCATTGCTGTCAAGGTCATCATCTCTATCCTCAAGTGAGTCATCCTCATCCATACCAAATAGGTCAGTTAGCCATCTAGACCAGTTACCAATCTGAGAAATCCAGAACACAAATGAAAAGAATATATCAGTTAGGACGAAGTATCTCCATTGACATTATATTGAATGTAGGCATTAAATCATCCTTTTTTCCTTTTTTGTAGCCACAAAACAGTCAACCTCTAATTGCTCAATTAATCAGTGGCCAACTTCAGGCCAGAAAGTCATACTCTTGGCCTGCTTTTAGCAGCACATTCAAGACACAAACAGATACCAGCAGAAACAAAAGGAGTAAATTGAACCTAGACTGGTGGATGGGAGTTACATTCATGAGTGGACAGCCATATATTAGTTTAAATAAAAATTAGAAAAATACTGAGATCGGAAAAATTACCGCAGTTTTAAGCTGTGCACCAGCTCCAAAGCTTGATTTACCAGGCGGAATGGGGAGAACCTTAGGATCGCTAATGGGATCAGATACAGGATCAGTTGGAATATCATCAACAGATTCACGAAGAATGGCATTGAACATGGCAACATCTAATCTTGCTACACATTGCTCCATTATCTAGAATAAGTAAAAGTAAAATGCAATCTGATGTCAATTTCATTGCCTAATCTGACAACTTAGATACAGGATTGATTAATATATTCAAAGATATCAGTTTGATTGGGGTGTTTCGGGTTGGGAAGGTGGGGTGGCAAATGGCTTCATCTCAAGCAAATTGCAGAAATCACACTTTTCTCACCATATTCCTCCGACCTCCCCATAAGGATTCAGTTGGAGGCACTAAGCTGCAGTGAAGATTTGAAATTAACTTCCAATTCAACCACTCGTTCATAAAATCAATACACCAAAAAGAAGGCACAACTTAACTGCCACTTGTGCTACAAAGGATTTTATACACCATTGGAGTTTATTGAAATTCCATCAGCTACCAGGAATTTGTGAGGAATAGAAACAAAGATCAACTGAAAATAGGCTGTATGAAATTTGTTTACAGGTTCTTTTTCCCGCTGGAAAAGAACCATTTTTTTCAGACATTATCACTTAAAAGAGATGAGCCTATATATATATATATATATATATATATATAGATTAACATGTATATTTTAAAAAAACCATGTTTCAATAACAAAAGTCCCATAAAATTGACTGTCAATACAAAATGATATTACAATGAAAAACTTGAGTAACTTATGGTCCAAAACATAGAAGGAAAGAACAAAGGAACTGGATAGACTAACCAATCTAGGCAGCACAGACAAACAGCCACACTCATGCCCTCCAGCTCGGATAGGACAGAGCCTTTCACAGGCTTCCCTAAAAGCATTCTTCCAAATATCTAGCGATAAATTTTCCTGCCCTTGATCACATGAGCTAGACATGTTCCTAGAGCTTTTACATGCATCCTCATGAGTGACCTTTGCATCAGCCAGCTGCATATGTGGAGTCAAAGACTGGACATAGAGAATGAATGACGCATGTTAGATTACAATGGAATTATTTGATATTAATAATGAGCTTGCATGGGAACTTAAGGATTGTTTGAAAGGAGCATGAGATGAAAGTGTTACCTGCCACCAAATAGATTCCACGATGCGGGAGAAGATCCAAGCTTCCACCTTTTCCAATGCTGATGTAAACATGTTTGGATCTTCCCAGTTACCAATACCTCCATATTCAACTGCTGTATTTTCACTTTTCCTAGGAGAGAACCCCCTCCATATTAATGGTTGTGCTATCTTGCCATTCGCTTCTCCATTCATCCTTCTTGTAATAGGTCCAGCAGGATTTGATGGTGTCATGTCTTTGGTAGCTTTGCTTATAATTGTTCTCAGCACAACAGAATTGGACAACCAAAATGTCAACCTGTATCCAGATGCAAAAGGAGGTTAATAGCCTTGGCAGCTAGCATAGTTTATGATGAAACTGTTAACTTCCAATTTAAGCAGTAATAATCAGAAAGTGATGCATTTTAGATTGGAGAAAGTCCGTTCTCATTTCAGGCAGAGCAATGTATCGTAAGTTTGACATTAAAAATAAAATATCAAACTTTTCATGATGAAGCAACTTGTAGTGTGTGATACTGATGGACATCTTCAAAATACAATCTTGACTAGAGATAGGAAAATGAGAAATATTATAAGAACAAAATGCAGTAACCAATAAAACTCAAGTCTACCTTGGGACATCATTTCCACATGCCTTTGCAACAAGGACTAACCCAGAAACAGCACTCTTGGCTGCCCCAGATCTTCTAGCTAGAAGATTTTCTTTACAAGTATGAAGGTACAGCCTGGAAAGGCGCCGAGCAGGGGCATGAACCTTACTCATGGAGCTTCCATGCTCAGCAACTACTGAATATAAAGCAGCCTCAATAGCAGCAGCTTCTCTTAACTCTCCTTCAAGCATCTCTATCTTGTTTTCCAAGTGCTCGATCCTGCTGTCTAAAATGGCAGTTCTGGCTTCCCTTGGATAAATCTTGGCATCTTTTCTGTCACTGCTTCTGTTGTTCCCTCCAATATTTTGGCCATTTCCATTAACACCATTTTCCTTTACTTCAGTAAGATGATTGCTACCCAGTGACCCAGTACTCCTAGCTGAATCTGCGGATGACCTTACAGACTTCACATGCTTTAATCTTTCACTTTTCAGAAAATTTCCTTTTATACCATTATCTGACCGACCTAAAGAATATGAATTGCTACTCAATAAAACTTGATCTTTTGTACCTTGTGCAACTGATTCATCTTCTACATGGTATTGCTTATCAAAATTTAATACTTCATTTCCAAGCTTATCCTCAATGGAATTGTGGTAATATTTATCACTCCCCCCCTCCTTCACACAATTTTTGTCAGCTTCCTCACATCTCTCACTTAATTTGTCATTGGTTTCTGAACCAGGTCCTGGGTTCTCGTCCACAAAGCAATTACTATCTAGAAATGTAGCATTGCTTGAATAGATGTCACAAGCACTTCCATTAAGGTTTGTTTGAACACCTGCAACTACACTTCTACAATTTGCTACCTTTTTACAACCCACTTGATCCAAATTTTCATGATCCCTGCTTCTGGAAGTTTCTTCCATTGATGGGGAAGAAGAATCACCATTTGAGGAAACAACTTGGTTTCGGGTCACTGATCTATGATTGGGAGTAGTAGTCTTCGGAGTATGACCATGTACTGGACTCCCAACATCAGAGGATACATCATAGGAAGAACTCCCCTCCAGTCTATCATATGTGTCTTCTTGCATCACATTCAACTTTTCAACGCTTGTCTCTGAAGCCAAGGGATGCTCCATGTCATTCCTACCATTGTTTTGTGCTGGTCCATGTGGTGCATTCTGCAATTCAGTAACAGTTACTTCATGGGTTGGTGATAATTTTCTTAATATACTGTTATATTTAGATATATCCCGCAAGCAGAAGGCAGGCATATAGGAAACACGTTATTAGATAGTGATAGGGAATTGAGATTTTACTGGAATCACTAGAAAATGGAAATCCCCTTACTCCCACTGTTATAGGATCAACAATGGAAGATGATCAGTACAAGGAAATGGTAAGCAGAAAAATATTATAGATCAAATAAACAGAAAAATAGTAGACTGAATAAACAGCACGTCGAGGGGCTGCAACCTCCATACCACCCAAATCACTCAATTCGCATACTTTCCCTCCCCTCCATATAACGTACTTTCTCATAATAGACTCCCTTATCTTCTTTCCACTCACGCTTTCTGTATTATCAAATTAACAATAATCCTTGTTCTTGCTCATCCCTGTTCCCATTTCCTCCTTGCTTACTTACATACTTCTTCCTATTGTATGCTTGGGTAATGGGAAGTGTAAGAAAATAGGATTTCTTATTTACCTTGTATTGATTCATAAAACAATCTGAAGTAAAAAGGTCCAGTCAAGCATCTGATGGAAAGTTCTAAACTTGGTCAACATGTGCAAAGCATCTAAATATTGGGATGAAGTTTTCTATTGCATTTTGCCCTACATCAAAAAGTATATTCATGGAATAGGGCTGCAGGACAATACAAACTGTCACACACACACACATGGTTAAAGCAAAAGAAATGTATGCTTCTATAAATAAGAGAATGGAATGTAGGAAAATATTAGTACCTCTTCATGTTCGGGAGGCATACACACACTAGACTCTGAGGAAGCAGTAACTCCAGCCACAGATGAATGTGAGGAAACATCATCATCAGTAAAAGAGGCAATCTCAGCTTCGTCACCAAATTCTCCATTCATTATCACCGATACTGAATCACCACCGTTTTTGTCCTTTGACACCTCCTTTGACAAGCTTTCTTTCAATGCAGACCTAGCACGATTCTTTCCAACTGGCTCAATTTGAATGAACAAAAGTGGCTGATCCATGTTTCTGTAGTTCCTCTGGCAATTCAATGGTGTACGTATGCTCAAGGTCTCTCTAAGTATGCCACAATCAGCCAAATCTATAATGGCAGTACCCAACAACTGACCTTTAATGGTCTTATCTCTACGAGTCTCATACAAGCTCAACTCCAAACAGTTCTTTTGGAACATATCAACAGTACTATTTCTGACAGTCATATCCCTCAACAGTGTCACTGGAAGCCTAAATGACTCATTGAACTCGAGTTTTCCTTCACCTGCGACCGAATTAGAACCAACTGAAGGGGAAACAAGACAGGTAGACCCTGAAGAGCGTTCACCATTCTCCCATTGTATCAATACAGAACGAAGGGATCTAAGAGATTGTGAAGGGGGCCAAGGCTTAATCTCCTGAATGTGAATGAGGTAATCCATATGAATAGCACCACCACTTCTCCTGTTCTTTCCTTTCATGGTAACAACTATGCTAGGGTCCTTCCCAGATGAAATTTCTTACTTAAATACAGTAGAATATGCAGCAGAACAATCACAAGCCCTCTGAAGTGAAACAGATAGAGTAAGAAATCAGACGCAGATTTGCATTTTACCAGCAATCTAAGTCAGCTAGCAATGAGTAGTTTTTGGAACTTGGACTCATCAATTATTAAGTATATTTGACTCAATAAGGTGAATGAAAAGAAAGTGGAAAGGGGGAACTTGGGGAAACAGAAAAAGAGTAATTTTGCCAGTGAAGCAGCCACCCAGATTTGGTGTATTAAACTTTCAACAGTGAAGAGTGAACACACAATGCAAGGACAAGACAGTTATAACTATTCTGGAGACTAAAGTTTAACTTCACCTAAAGCAAGTTTGATGCAGGTAAAGTGAATCCAACCATGAGACATCAAACGAAAAAGAACATAAAACATTAGGACATACACAGAAAGGATCAGATCAAGCAAGTGTTGGAGAAAAGCCACTAAAAAAGGTCACAACTTAAAGCCAAAACCAAGCAGAAAATTGATAATGCAGAATATGGAATCAGGTTAAATACACAAGCAGAAGTCAAGAGAAGCTTCAATGAGAGAGAATGCTTGAAATGTAAGAAGAGTGAGTACCGGGAAAGCAGTGGCAGGTAGAATCAGAAAGCTGCAACAGCTAGCCGGAAGTGCAAGAGTGTCACTACCATATCTGTGGAAGTATCTATGCCACTGAATAAAAATGGAGAACGTATTTACAAAATATTAAACAAAATTTATGAACAGAAAAAGCGCACTTTTTTTATTTTTATAAAATATAGGTATAATTAGTAAACATCAGCAAAAACTAAGGAATTTCACTAAAATTTACCGTTAAATTACATAAAATCATTTTACTCAGCACCATATCTACTGTCTAAAAAATGAGTTACTGCTAAATAATAACTTTAGGAAAGTGAGTAAGTAAACATATTTTATTAAAAAAAATATGTAAAATATAGTATATTTGTCATAATTTTTTAAATTTCTTAACTAAAATAGTGATTAATATTTGTTTTAAGAAATCTCAACCGTAGATTTAATTTTATACTTTGTACCCAACAAAAATAAGTAGTTGATAAGATATAATGCTTTAGGAAACATTAGTATTTCATCAAATATAAATTTTATTGGTTATTGTCTAGGAAATATAAAAAAGTATGGGTACGAAGTAACCCCTAGTTGGTGTACAAGAATATATAATTCACAGGGAAGAGGAAACGGCGTCGTTTGGTGGAAGCCCAAAAAATAATAAAACAATGACGCTGGGTGACTCAATCATGATGGGGATGCCTCGGCAGAAAATGTAGACCTCATTAAATATTAAAAAAAGTTATATTCGAAATTGGAAAAGTTGGTTTTACGCGCACATAGGGAGCGTGTGTATCAAACTCGAGCAACTTTCTGAAACGCACCGTCGCGCGTGAACTCACGGAGCATGAAGAATCGCTGTGGCTTGCGTCGTTTTCAGGCTGAGCTGGGTCTGGTGAGTGGCAATTGCTATGCGTTCACCGACATAAATGGTCGTTCATGTGCTAATTAGCTTACAGTACATACTTTATGATACAGTCCCAAGAAGTAACAACATTTATGGGGTGTTGCTGCCCATCATATAATTTCATGCTTTTCATTTTAATTCAAACTCTGCTATATTTAATAAAAATTTGTGAAATTACAGAGGAGAAAATTTAATTTATTATTTATTTACTCTACCATTTGGATATTTTAAAAAAGAAAAGTTGAATAAAAAAGTGACCTCCAATAACACTTTAAACCTGTGTTTTGTTTAGGAAAAGAGTGATTTACATTTTAAGATTGCGGGGTTCAACCTTCAAGTCACTTCTTTAAGAAAAGCAACTTTAAAAAATTAGATGGTTTAGGTTAAGTTTGATGGGACATTAACAGAAAAATCAATACAAGTGTTGAAGCTTGAAATTAAGTGAATTAGTTTTGAAGCTAATGGGTGTGTAGACGAAGTGAAGCATGAATGAACCAAAGCATTACTTATGGTCATTACCACCAAACATTGACTCTCTGTTTAGGTGCAACGCCCATAGTCATAACAGCACAAGGCCAAGGCCCAGTTAGCTGCCTCAAAATTATAGCTTCACCAAAGAAAAAGAAAACACACAAGAATTTAGATCCCAACTTGGCCAATTCCATGACAATGGAAGCTTTTCCCTTTTCTGCTTTGAGTGTATATTGTGAGTTCCATATAGTTTTTCTTTTCTGTTAAGTTCGCTCATCAGTTTTCACCAAAGAGAATAATGGTGTGGGTTGAGATGTCCACTTCCAAACCATGATTCATTAGAGACTCATGTTGATTAAGTTGGATATTTTATTTCATGTTTCATAACATTGTAGTTTTTGTCGTGTGTTTAAGTACATTCAATAAATGATTTTAACATAATATTTTATTACAAATTATAACATTTAATATTATTATATAACTTTAATTATGCATTCAAAAAAAATCAATAATACTGTACTTTAACTTGAAATTCCAATAGGATTTGACACGTCATTTTATGGACTGTACTAAGTTCTTTAGTTAAACTCAAATTTTATTATTTAACACCCTATTTAAAAGAGTTTATAAAAAAATTATAATTTTTTTTAACTTATTAAACTAAGCTTCATTTATAGTCAAATTTTACATAATAAAAATTTATTAAATAGATATTTAGTTAAAATATTACTACAAGAAAATTCATTACTTACAGTGATGTTGTAATCAATAAATCTTCTAATAGCCATGTGAGAAATTGGCAATATAATCGATCGTCAAATCATCATAAATGAGGTGAAAATAAATGAACATCATTGATGGATAAATTGTCAATAATTTACAGACCACTTATTTATAAAAAGTTCACTGAAAATTTAGTTTACGGCACCAAAACAGTTATTTATTATGGACAAATAATCATTAGTATAAATGGATATTATCTCGCACAATTTATAACAAATAAATATTAAATTTATCCACATTAATAGAAATATTTATGTGTAATACATTTATACTCTATTTTAAAATATCTATAATATTAAATGATTAAATTAATGCATTATATATTAAATAAATAAATATATTCACTCTCACATATAATAATTAAATATCTCATTAAAAGATAAATAAAAGTATAAAAAAACTTAACGATTATTACATTTAAAAAAGATATTTTTTTTATAATATAAGAAAATGCTAAATAGTGTCAAAAGACACTAGTTAGAAAATTAAAAAGTAATAATATTTTGTTAGAAAATATAAAAATACACTCATTCTCCTGTATTTTAATTTATTTCAACATGATTTCTAATAAAAAAAATTTAATATTTATGGATTCTTTTTACAATGTATTTAAAGTACGGTTTAACAAAACTCTAAAATATATCGTTTAATATTATCCTCAAATATTTTGTACCTTTTAATTATAGATTTTATAATTCTTTTAAAACAATTTCTATTATCAATTGATAATAATGTAACATACATCTCGATATCACATCCCTAGTCAATAGTAAGTACTAAAAGTGATTATTTTTAAATTTTTTAAAATTTTTAAATATTAAAATTAATAAAAAATGTTAAAATAAAAAATTTAATCTAATCATATTTAAACTAAAATATAACTTGTTACCTTGTGAAATTCACAAATATTTTATTTTAAATTTAATATATATTATAATAATTTTATTTAAAATTATAAGTTTTTTAACAATTATATATATAAAATAAAATTATTTTTAAAATAAATTAATTCTAAAATTATTTTAATTTAATTCTCTAATAATGAAATATAAGGTAATAAAAAAATTAAATAATAATTTTTATTTCTAAAATTTAAAAAAAATAAAAAAAAAATCAACTGTAATAAGAAAGAGTGTAATTACATATTATTTTTAAATAATTTTAATCTTACAAAATACGTATATTTAAATGTAAAAGAGAGTAGTTAATTATATTAAATGTCTCACTGATCAAATCAAATATTTTTATTATATATATACATATGGGAGAAGATCTTTTAAAAAATTTTATACTCAATTTAAACCTTTCATTTAATTTAAATCTAATGGGTTATAATTACTTAGTTGCATCATACAATTGCTAAACTTTTTGAAATGCCATATTTTGTCAAATTTCTACTAGAGTTTATGTAATACTAACTCATAAGCAATATTTGAAATTGAAATTGCATACAAATCATTGTTATGTAATAGATACACATGAAAGTATCATTTGAAGCTGGTTGAAACTAACTCAACTTCACCTCAAAATTTACTAACAATGGTTAAGAAATTTGAAATGTTAGATAATTTATATTTTTAAAAATTAATTAAACTTAAAAAATTGACATACATAGCCTCTCAAGAGTATGAGTCTAATGATAATAATGGCATGTTAAAGAATTGTCTTAAGGTTAGAGGTGTTCAAAAAATCAAGTTTTATAAATTCAATCTATAAGCAATATTAAATTGATTTTAAAAAGTTAAATCTATATTAAACTGATTTTTTTATTAAATATATTTGTATAACTAATTTAGTTTCTAAATATACCTTTTAAAACTAATTTTTTTTATTTATCCAAATTCATATTATGAAACTATTACTTTATAGCTTTATTTATTAAATTTTCACATTATATTAGTTTATAAAATTTAATTGTAACTACATTTTATCATTAATATTTTTTTATAAATTTTAATTCTTATAATTAAAATTAAATATTTAAAATAATTAAAGATATTAAAATATAAAATATTTTTAAATTAATTACTACTTTTTTATATTTATGTTTGTTTTTAATTTTTAAAATATTATAAGATAATAATTTTATAATTATTTATATTATTAATTTTTATGTTTATATATTTTAATTTAAACTTTTATTATAAACTCCGTTTAATAAAAATAAGTTAGAAATAATAATAAATATTTTATACACTTCTATAAAATATAATATATTAATAAATATTGTTAAAAAAAATTTGAAATATACTAATTTAATGCAACGTTTTGTATAATAAATTAGTTTTACCTTAAAATAAAATTTACAAATGTATTAAAAATTAGCTTTGCTTTAAAAATTAAATTTAAAATTAGATTTAAAACTAATTTAAAGTAAAATTAAATTTAAAACTAGTTTCAACAAAAACTAAATTTAAAATCTATTTTAAACTAAATTTAAATTTTAAAATTATTTTTGAACTGATTAAAAAATAAAATAGTTTAAAATTCAATTCATATAATTAATTTATGTAATCGATAAATGATAAAAAAAATAGAATATATTTAAATATTTATTACTTTAATAAAATATAAAGATAAAAAAGTATTATTAATAAATTAAAATATACGCAAATATTCTTTTGACATGTATTGTTAATTTCTTTTACTAATGTAATGGATTAGAGTACTCCTTATATTCATATTTTATCTTTAATAAATGTTGATGCTTAATAAATATATATATATATATATATATATATATATACAAATATAATGTTATATTATTTATTATAAAATTTAAATATTTTTGAATATAATAATTTAATAATAATAATATAAAAATATTTATAGTATATTTTTATCATATGTAAAAATGGTTTAAAATCGATTTTAAACTAAATTTAAATTTAAAAACCAAATTTAAATCAGTTTCTAGAAAAAATAAAATGGATTGATTTATAATCCAATCCATATAATTGAATTTTAAATGAATTTAGATTAATTTT